GCTTCAATTTTTTTAGAATGAGTTACCTAGGCCAAAGGTGTGCATCATGTGGTTGATGATGAAAACTCCTCGATGTCGATGACAATGATGAAGATCTCACACAAAAAAAACACGTGTATTGGGGCTCATCGCATGGGTTATGTTCTATGGGGCTGCCGGCGATGAATAAAAATAACAGTGGGGAAGAATAGTTGGGTTCTGAGTTCAAATAGATAGTAACAAAACATAATAACCCCTAAAGTTCAAACACACTATTTAGGGGAATGAAAACAAAAGAAACAGGCTCTTCTCTTTAGTTTTCCAATGTTTGTATTATTAACACCGATTATTTATCATAGCTTTTATATATATATATATATATATATATATATATATATACCTGTGTTTACGTCGATTTCTTGAACATCCACCGTAAATAATAAATATTACATTGGACGCGTGCACAATTGATATAAATATTGTATCTTTATTTACAAAAATGTTATCATCTCATTTATTACATTATTAGCGTAATAACTGGTGCAAATAAGTCAGTGTAAAAGGAAAATTTTTTAGCGGTGATGTTTTTTCCTGTTTTAAGAAGGTAGCCTCCAATTCAAATTAACTTTGAAGTTCTGTAATGGAACTATATCCTGGAAAGTAATTTTCAGTGGGTAGACCTATTATACTTTTTATTCATTGCATATTTATAACAGAAAAATGTCGTGTTGAGTAAAAACTTGTGAATTAGAGCCGAAGCCATTTCAATTGACGTGCAAACAAGAATAAAAATAAAGTATGAGTAAAAACTTGTGATATTCCCACTTTGTTTAAAATAATTGGTGGGAACAGTTACACTTTTTTGGCTGACTGAGTGAAGGCGTGTTGAGGGAGAAGATAAGGCCACTATGGAACTGGTTTGCATGCTTAAGGGTGATGATCAGCCAAGCTTTTCTGTTCTATAACATTTAAATCTAATTTAGATGGTTTAAATTTCAAATTTTTTAATTAATTTTTAGTTATTTTTTAAAAAAGTAATCAATTTTTTTAAAAAAATAAGTTAGCCTAAAAAAAGTAAAAAGAAATAAAATATGGACCGTCCATATCCACCTATAATGAGTTTGGGTGCTTATAACTTGTATAAAAACAACGGAACAGAAGGCAATTAATTTTAGATTGCGTTTCAGAACTTTCACAATACTTGTCCATCTCTCCTTGTGACAAAACTCTCTTCTCCCTTCTATTAGTATTATTTGTCGTGTGAATTAATGGAGTCCGTAATGTGATTTTGTTGTGCATGTGATATAGAGCTACCTCATCGAATTCAAAAGTATGCCTACAACCCTTCTAAAATATTGCATTAAAAAACACGTTGTAGGGTGAAAAAGGTACAGGTTTCCCTATATATCAAATAGAGTGCATTCAAGATTCAGGTCTTAAGGAGTCACAAAATAAGTTGGGTAATAACATCTTTTAATCTTTTCCTTTTTTGAACTGTTTCTATTACCTGTTCATGTTCTATTAGTTATTTTTGGAATTTTTTTGGCTAAAAGCTAGCCAAATGACTATGACTTGGTAAAAGACAGTGTTGCTTTAAATAAAATTTTACATACAAAAAAGATACGACTTTATAATTCATGCAGTAGTTATTTTAGGAATTTTTTGGGCTAGAAGTTAGCCAAATGACTATGACTTGGTAAAAGACTGTGTTGCTTTATATAAAATTTTACATGCTAAAAAGATACAACTTTATAATTTATGCAGTAGTTATGCTTAAAAATTAAAGAGATACCACCTCCCTCTTTAATATAAGGCTAGATAGCTACTTCAAGGAGATTTAGGTAATTAGTTAAATTAGTTTTTTTTAATAGCAAATACGTGTTGATTTTTTAAAATTATTCTTGTTTAATTATATATATTGAAATTATACTCAGATGAAAACACATTATAATTATTAGGGATATTTTTTAAGAACGAATTATAAATTTAAGAGGTAAAGTGAGCTGACATTTTTATATTAAGAACGGTTAATTGGCTCTTATATTTAAGATCGGAGTAGTAAATTACTTTATGAGGCGCAATTTTTAAGGCGGATTTTCTATAAATACTTTTCACCATCGACTCCATGCACACAGCATGCAAAACATCAAATTGATTGCCTTGATACAAACATAAGGTCAGATTACCACTTTATAAAAATAATTATTGCCTTATGTTGAGTTTTGGTAATGCAAATTATATTCAAGAGTTTTTATGGGAAAATTGCAATAAGGCCTCACCCAAAAAAATTAAATACAAAAAGATCCCTTAAATCATTAAATTATTCTGAAGTTCCAAGAGATCTTATTGCAAAGAATTTATTTATTTAATTACCAAATTGTCTTTATCTTTTTTTAAAGTATGCATTGATAACTAAAAATGCAGTCGTTGACAACTTAAGATATAAGAATTAACAACTATCATGATGGATATTGACACTCATGCATCATATTTTGTGATGTACTGAGAAAATGTGTTGTCAATACCAGCCGCGATAGTTATTAATTATTATATTTTAAATTGTCAATGACTGTTCTTTCAGTTGTTAATATATATTTCAAAAAAAAAAGACAATTTGGTAATTAAACAAATAAAATTTTTGTAATGAGATCTATTAGGACTTCAGAATAATTTGATGATTTCAGAAGATTTTTTTATATTTAATTTTCTTAGATGGAGTCTTATTGCAGTTTTTTCAGTTTTTATTGTATTCTAAAAAAATTTGATATCAACTCAATTTGCACTCTAGAGTTGTAATAGGTGGAGGCCTTTGAGTCATTATGCACAACTTTTTTCTTATCTTGTCTCCTTCCACCTTTTAGAGTATCGTAATCAAGTCTAAAAAGGAAAAGTGTTAATTATGCCTTAAAGACATCATGCATAATTTTCTTAATCTCTTTTCTTTCTACTCCTTAGATAATTATTACCACCACCGTATCAATATTTAAAAAACACTTTGGATTCATATGTTTAGTTTTGGGTTTAGTGACGTCATATTATTTGAGATTTATTTAAAATGATCTATTAAAACAGTGAACACGTGTTACCCATATTTGTAGTCATCAAAACGTGTCACATAGGAGATCGCTGCTTTGACATGTGGCTTCCCCGTCCTGGTTCTCACATTCGGATACCACAACAACGTAGACATATTCCACAAAATGACAAATATTAGATCCGCACTTGCTAAGTGCTTGATCATGTATGGAGGAAAAAAAAACAAATAAATAATTACATAAATTTAGGTAGGGTTAAGGTACATCTAGTACTTCGAACTATTTTTTCAGGTGCGCTTAGTGTCTTAAAGTAATTTTCGGTGCATCCAATATCTCAAACTAATTACAACGGTGCATCTATATCTTAAGCTAACAGAAAAGTTAAGTTTAATTGTTATCCTGCTGACTCAGCCAAAGGTTGACCGAAAAATCCTACGTGAGGAACATGTAGGTGTCTGATGTGTATTATTTTGATAGGTTAAGGTGCGTCTAGCATCTCGAATTATTTTTCTAGGTATACCCAGTGTTCTAAAATAATTTTTGGTGCATTCAGTATCCCAAACTAATTAAAACGGTGCATTCACATCCCAAGCTAATAGAAAAGTTTCCTTTGACCATGACCTTGCTGACTTAGCTGAAAGTTGATCGAAAAATCCTACATGGCAGACATGTAGGCGTCTGATGTGTATTATTTTGACTGAAAATCCAATTAATTTCCTCCTTTTCTAATATTTATCTTATGCCAGTTTTTAAATTAAAAAAAAAAGACCATCGATCCACCCTCTTAAATCCTGGAACATGTACCACCCATTCAATCTCATTCTCATTTTTAACATTTTATCCCATTTCTTCCACCACTCTGATTTGAAATTACAACCGCCGTCACAGCACACTTCTGCCTCCATCATTGTCAACTCCTCATCCAACTTGCATTTGCTTTCCTCCTCATAGAACACAGTAAACTTCCCATTGGTCACTCCGTCGACACCCCTGTTGCCTCCCGAGAAAACACCCATCGCCATCAGGCTTGTCTCGGGAGCTTTAGTCAAAATAATACACATCAGACGTCTGTGTATCCGTCATGTAAGATTTTTCTGTCAACTTTCAGCTAAGTCAGCAAGGTAATGGTCAAACAAGACTTTTCTGTTAGCTTGAAATATAGACGCATCGTTTTAATTAATTTGGGACACTAGATGCATCGAAAATTACTTTAGGATATTAGGCGCACCTAGAAAAATAGTTCGAGGTGCTGGACGCATCTTAACTCGTTAAAATAATACACATCAGACACTTACGTGTCCGTCATATAAGATTTTTCGGTCAACTTTCGACTGAGTCAGTAAGTTAACGATCATACTTAACTTTTCTATTAGCCTGGGATATGAATGTATTGTTTTAATTAGTTTGAGACACTGTATGCACCCAAAGTTATTTTAGAACACTAGGCGCATCTAGAAAAATAGTTCAAGATGTTGGGCGTACCTTAACATAAACAAGAAAACTAACGTTAACGACCCCTTTCCCAATACTGACCAGTTAGTATCGCAATCAGGAAGGAAGATGGAAGATAATAATGCAAATTTTCTAGTTGCTTTCTTCATGAGCCAACAAAACCACGAAAAAGACTGACTGAAAAAAAAGAAAAAGGGACCAAACACGTTAAAACATTCGGATAATATGACCAAGAAACAAAAATATGTATTCTTCCGGTTCTTAATATAAGATCCATTTAACTAATTTGATTAGATTAAGAAAATTAGTAAGTTAGTTAATTACAAGAAAAGTGACACATTTTTCCTAAAACACCATAATAATTTTTCTTAATACCTCCTCTCCCTCTTCTACTTAATTATAATTGAGGGAGTATTTATAAAGATAATTTGGAGAAAATTAATAATTATAAAAAATGGATAATACCAAAACCAAGATCCTATATTAAGTACGGAGGAATATGATAAATGAAATTCAGTTTTCATGGCAATACATTTTCGAGTTCGATCCGCGAACGGTGAATGAGTGTGAAAGAAGAAGAATGGCTATGGCAATGCTGAATTGGATACCGGACGCTGCGAGGAATTTGGCCCACGAGCACGCGCAGGTGATACCCATTTCGCTCTTCGTGGCGGTTCTCTGCCTCTGCTTGCTCATCGGTCACTTGCTCGAAGATAACCGTTGGGTTAATGAATCCATCGTCGCCATTCTAGTTGTAATCATCCTTATGCTTCTCTCGTTTGATTATTTATTGCTTTATTTTATGATGTGACCTTCTCCTCAATGCTATAGTTGAAATTTTTGGCTGTTTTATTTGGTAAGTATGAATTGAAGACTATGAAGGACCAATGCTAAAGACATACATTCAAGTTCTTATAATTTCCTTTGGACAAATGTCGAAAGATGAATCAATCTTCTGCTTTAAATTGTCTCTTCTCTTACTCCCCTTCGTTCGTCCTGCCACGAGTAGTGAGAATGAGAAGAAGCTAGTCTGCGAGACGATTTCAGTGATGGGTGTCAACCTTTTTCTTCTCTGTTGTTTTTCTTTGTTTTGAATCTTTACTTGAGATTTGGGCTTTTGTAAAGAAGCTTCCCATTCGACATCACCGGTTTATATTTTACAGCTATCTAAAACTGATTATTTTATTGATATTAAAGGAATCTGGTAAACTTTTTATGATCCATTAAATTGGAAGTTAAATTGTGTAACTTCGTCGTTTGGCCAAAAGTGTGAAGTTATTCTGTGTCTGTAGCACGAACACCATTCTAGGTTTATCACATGACATCGTTAAAATTCCCGGACGTTTAATGACAGTGTTTTTAGTTTCTTTATCCTATTTAGCATACAATAATAAGTTCCACCGGCGTCTAGGAGTTCTTTAATTTGATCAGGATTGAGACTATAAGATGATAATTGGTCTGAAAGGTACATATTTAGTGCCTTGGGTAGAGATTTGACATATTCAATGCCACTAAACCTTCTCTTTGGTTAGGGATGTATTGCTGGAATGATTCTCTTGTTCATCACCAAGGGGACGAGTTCTCGCATCCTTACATTCAACGAAGAGCTTTTCTTCATATATCTTCTGCCACCCATAATATTCAATGCTGGGCAAGAACTTATGCCTTTTGCTGGATCATAAGTCTTGAAGCTGCTCTGGTAACAAAATCTTTTACTGTTCTGAGTCACATCTTCTTGATAACAGATTTCAGGTCAAGAAGAAACAGTTCTTCCACAACTTCTTAACTATCATGCTATTTGGGGTGATCGGTGTTTTTATATCAGCATCTATTATTGTAACTGGTAGACCATTATCCTATATTTTCCTGTTGAAGTTTACATGGATTTAACTTGAAGTCTTATTGGCCAAAGAAAGAAAAACCTCAAATCTTTGCATTTGGTCCTTTACTTAGGCAGTTGGTGGCTATTTCCCAAGTTAAACTTTAATGGTCTGACAGTGCAAGATTATCTTGGTGAGATTTCTTTTATCTTCTGGATGTTCATAGAAATGTAGATCTTTATCTAATATTGTCATTAATATATATCAGATTTTCATGGTGATTAGCTTTCTTTTAATTCAGCTATAGGAACGATTTTCTCTTCAACAGATACAGTTTGTACCTTGCAGGTTGGTTAGATTGCTAAATTTTTCTCTTTTGTTTAACATATTTACTTTCTTGTTTATTTATCATCCTTTATTCGCTGTAGGTTCTCCATCAAGATGAAACTCCTCTATTATACAGCCTAGTCTTTGGGGAAGGAGTGGTAAATGATGCGACATCAGTTGTTCTCTTCAATGCGGTGCAGAAGCTTGATGCTTCGAAAGTTCATGGCAGCGCACTCCATGTCATTGGAGATTTCTTCTACCTGTTCTCCACAAGCACTGCTCTAGGATTCATTGTAAGTTTCAATAAAATGGCTTCACGGCTTTCTCTTGAATTCTCTGTTTGTTGATGGTATTGTTGTCACATGCTGCTAGCTGGAACCATCATGTAAGAGGGTATCATAAATGGCTGAAGGTTTACAATTTTCTTCTCTAAAAAAGTTTAACACTTCGTATATCATCTCTTGTCAATAATTTTACTCAGCAAACTTCTAAACAATGTTACTTATACATCAGACTCGCTGAGTTCTTTCTTTTTGTTTTTCTATCATTTCATTTAATAAACAAATGCTTGTTCATGCAGTCTGGACTTATCACAGCATACATCCTGAAAGCCTTCTGCTTTGGAAGGCAAGTAACTTTTTTTCAAAACTCCCCTGAATGAGAAAATCATCAAGATGGTTTGAATAGGGAATATCAAAGTTCAAAAACAAGTTTTCTGATTCTGGATCTCAATATGCCTGCAGACATTCAAGTGTTCGTGAAATTGCATTGATGGTTTTAATGGCATACCTATCCTACATGTTGGCAGAGGTACATAGGAGTTCATGCATTTACCTGCTATAGAACTAATCTAGTTTTGGATTCACTTAACCCTTAGATAGCTCAACTTATGATTAGCATTTATCAGCAAACCAGACCTGAACTTCTAAGAGACAACACCATTAGGTGGTGAATTGGGCAAAATAATAATATTAGTAGTTGGTAATTTTGGGGCTTTATATAATAATGAGGTTTTTGTCAAAATTGATTTTGGCAGCTTATACTAAGAGTCTATTTGTCTGCTGAATAAATTATTTTTTAACGATCCATCTTCACTGCATTTTCCATGCAGCTCCTAGAACTCAGTGGAATCCTCACTGTTTTCTTCTGCGGAATATTAATGTCACACTATGCATGGCATAATGTGACTGAAACTTCAAGAGTCACAACCAGGTATAGATTAATCAGACTTTTGCGATTTGATGATTTTCGCATTCAGGGTTTTGGATTTTTCACCTGGCCAATCTTCTCCAGGCATGTCTTCGCGACAATGTCATTTATTGCGGAAACCTTTATATTTCTTTATGTGGGCATGGATGCTCTGGACATGGAGAAGTGGAGGATTACGAAATTAAGGTCCTGTTCCTATCCTTAATTCTATAACAATTTATCTTGTCAAGTGTACCAAAGATAATTGACATTCTTTTGTAGTGCCATTGTGAATAGTCAAAAGCATGTACGGTGTTCTGGACATCTGCTTGTGCAATGCTGCTGACATAACTCAATATGACTTCTCTATCAGATTATGATACAAGTCTTCTTGTTTCGAGCGATTGTATCTGCGCTGAGTCCAAAATGATACAAGTAATTTAGTATTTCAGCAGAATGCTGGTAAGCCCTGTAGAAAAGTGGACCTGACATACACCTGAAGAGCAGGCAAAAGCCAGGCCAAAATATAAGAAAGTTTTAGGATGGTCTAGGGAAATCAGTAGGTGCAATAGACTCCTAACATAACTGGCTTTGTTTTATGTAAGAGTGATGTGGGATTTTTTTGTTTTGTTCTGTTTTGTGTTTTGGGGTGGGGGGGTTTTGAGGGAAAATCTTCTTAGCTGAGAGAGCAACGAACTTCTGAAAAGTCAGGCTAATTTGTCTTCGCACTTCATTTTTCTTCTTTCTTTTGCATAGTGTTGCATATAGCTGGTTGATTGTCCATTTTCCATTGGTATACGAGAGAAGCATCAAGCCAGGTTGTCTAAATAACACTCATGCTGAAGTTTCCATCAATTACGTATTGTTTCCTTTGTTCTATCTTTTGTTTTTTTGTTTTTTTTTGGGGGGGGGGATCGTGTGCACCAGGGTGGACAGCTATATTTTGTTGTCAAGTATGATTTACTGCTCATGATATGTGAATGGTCAGTGATTATAAGATCTGCACAAGCTTCAAACTTTTCCAGTTGCTTGAAATTGTTTTTGAGATGGCATATAAAGGTCCAAAAAGTTACTGTTTTGTTTTTTCGCCCTCTTCTTTATTGTTGAGGATGTCTACAATATCTCCAGTTGAAACTTGAGCAAAATAAACATAACTTTTTTATTTCTGGAATTTTTTTAAAAATGCCTTGTGAGATACGTTGCAGCATTTTACCTTGACAATGAGAACTCTTTCAAGTTCTTTCTTATTGCAGTTTTGGGAGGTTGATGGGAATTTACAGTTGCTTAATCTTCCTGATATTGCTTGGGCGGGCTGCTTTTGTTTTCCCTCTCTCTGCTTTTGCCAACTGTATGAATAGGCGTGCTCATAGAGACTCAAGAATCACATTTAGGCATCAGGTTGACATTCATGTTTTATGTGATAAGTTACAATCTAAAGATGGAAAAAAATAATCCTTGAAATTTTTGTCTTTTTATGTTGGTATAACTTCCAGATAATCATTTGGTGGGCTGGACTTATGAGGGGGGCAGTCTCGATTGCTCTGGCTTTCAAACAAGTATGTATTAAATCTTCTAGACACTAACTCAAAAGAGAAATTTATTTGCTATGATAGCAAACTGGCAGAGCACCGGGGAATGATTTCTGAATCCATCCATTATATTTTTGATTTGTGCAGTTCACATATTCTGGTGTTACGTCTGATCCTGTTGATGCAACAATGATCACCAACACCATCATTGTTGTTCTTTTCAGCACGCTGGTTAGTTGGCATATTTCTTTGATTGTGATATCAGAAATCCTAGAATAAGAACATCGTATAATTCAATTCTGTAGATGCTTTCTTTTTGGCCGAAAAAGATGCTGTCTTTTTAATGATATAGAAGCTTAGATAAACGATTTCCTGGAAGAGCCATCCTCCTCGTTTCAGTTCCTTTGTCACGGACTGCTTTAACTCAAGCTTATAACTAAACCTAAATGGGTGTAATAGTATGCGGAACCAACTTGTTAATATATTCATGTATTTTAACTGTCATCTCTAACGTGTCCTTGCATTAAAGGTGGACCTGAAGTGTGTACAAGCATAAACTTTTGCTGAAAGTTCTTTTAACAATAAAGATAGGGGTAGCAACAATTGAAATGTACATAGCTTGTTGATGGACGTTCACATAGTGAATAATAGTATATTTTGACCCAAGCATAAGTTGTCAACTGAAGGCTTGCAAATAATTCTGCGCCTTTAGTGTAAATTCTATTATTAAGAATTAGAAATTTGATGATATTATTACAGGTGTTTGGGTTTCTCACGAAACCACTTATCCGTTATCTTCTTCCCCATAGCACGACGAGGAAGAACATCATCCATCAGGAATCTGGTCCTCCTGTTGAGGACCTGAATCTGCCGTTGCTATCCTTTGAGGAGTCAGCAGAAACCAACTTCAGTCGTGCAAAGGAAAATCTGTCCATGCTAATGGAAAGTCCTGTCTACACCATACACCATTATTGGAGGAGGTTTGATGATGCCTACATGAGACCTATATTTGGAGGCCCTCTTGCTTAGTTAGTCACTATGCTAGCAAAATGAGGTAGGAACACTAATGATGATCTATTTGAGTTCAGTTTTGAAGATTAGCAGTTGCCAGTAGGGCTTTTTTCAGTGCCACTATTTTTTATACTCAGGAGGAATGCACATAAAGAGTCAAGGACCAAGTTTACTTTTGAATATTTACATGAATTGGGATAACTCCTGTCAAGCATTAGAGAAGTGCATGTTTGGATAATAATTTAAGTGTTCACTTTATATGTTGTGCAGATTTTGGACGAGTAGGCTGTATTGGAATGAATTGTATATAAACATCTTTTATTTTGAATTCTCATTTTTACTTTCCAGTAGAGAGCAAATGAAAAACTGAGTAAATCACACTTTACTCGCAAGATGTGACAGTTTTTCCCCAATATCCGTTATCTATCACATGTTAACCCAATTTAGTGAATGACTGAAACCCTTTTGCTGTAATTTATTATTCGCCGCTGTATGCTCATTGAACCTCTATTTCAATGAACTCGTTGAATTGAAGTTTTTGCGGGCGATCTTGCCCACGGTTAGATTGCCTTGAACTGATGTCCCTTTTTGTATGTGGGTTTATGTGCTTGACTAGTAAGCATGAAGCTTTGCAGACAGAAAATGATACCCTGGGATCGGTGGGCCTCACCTGACAAGTGAAAAGAAAAGCAGACTTTATGAGATTCTTTCACTCAAAGTATTCCTCCAGTTCTAAATATAAGACTTTTTTTGTAATGTAATTTACACTACAAAAAGGATATTATATTTAGGACAGGAGGAGTAGCTTTTTATTTTTTTTGGATGGGCTTTCTTTTTATGCATGTGTATATGACATTGGTCCTTTAACACAAAAGATTGTTCATGTAAGGTTTTGATTGGTAGGAGGTAGAACGAAGTGCTGCAGAGCCAAGTAGGCTGGGATGTCATCTCTTGGCATTGTTATGAGCTTCGTATTGAGAGGTCTTATACAGAAAGTGGGTTTTATAATTCTAGGATCTCTCCTTAATAATTTGCATTAATACTTACCCGTCCGCCACTAAAAACAGCACTTTCCATTTGGCTTGCATGTGTCAAGCATGTCGCCAGTGTGTGTCACTTGATTCTGAATTTCATATTTTCATGGTAGAAGGAGAACACTGTAGGAGTGAGATTTCACTATGGGGAATCTCCATGTGAGCCAGGGGCTTTTCTTAATTAGGTGCCCCTTAATTAGGTAAGGCATACTTCTTCAACATCAAGAGACAAAACAATTCGTATAATTGTAGTTTTAACTATAGTATTGAAAGTTTTTTCGGCCAAAAAAAACTACAGTATTGAAAGTCTAGTCACAATTAATACCTTCCAGCTGTAGTTATATAGTAACACCCAATTTTTTTCAATGTGGATTTACTTCACTTTTCCAAGTGTGATTCTATTCATATGCTTAAATCTTCATGATCTTGTTTGGCCTCGTCAAAAAATGGAAATGAACTTGCTTATTATAGAGAGAGTGAAAGAAGTCTACCCTAATCTAGCACATAATCTTATGCTACGATTTTTTTCTTTCAATTTATTTTATCTTATTGGAGCAGACCAGTTCACCCTTCAAAACCATATCACATCGGGAATATGATGAAATAATATGAATTTAAAGGACTGGGGATTTAATAGTGTAATGTTAAGAGGTTGTGTGTGGCCCTACTAAAGACTCTTATTCTCTATATAGGGTGGCAGCTGTGTGTAGGGGAATGAACCTAATTCCACTTTGCTTGAAAGAGGAAGAGTGACACACTTTGCACAATATTGACTATCTAACAAAAACCTTGGAGAATGGCATTGATCGGTAGGAAATACCATTCGGTCTGAGAAACAATTTATTTGGTTCACAAGGTTTAAATTCAAAGCCTTATTTAAAGAGGATAAGTAAATAAAGAACTATTTGAACCAAATTACTACCACTGGTTTTTAATATAAAAGTTAATTAACTAATTTGAAAAGATTAAGAGAATTAATTTAGTTAGCTATTTGTGACAAATATGTGTTGATTTTCCTAAATTATCATATTTAATAATGTATATTAGAATTTTCCTTTGGTAGAGATTCTTTACAATCAATATTGATATTTTTAAGAAAACATTATAAATTTGAAAAGCAAAATTAATCGAAGTATTATATTTAGGACCTAATTCAACCCCCAACCAGTTTTTATATTTAGGATTAGAGGTAGTACTATTTTTAAAAGCAGACAATCACCTATATGCATTGGCCGTATCAAGTTTCAATGATCTACTATTTCAAGATGAACATACATCTATTGGCAAATTTAACCAATAAAGAGAAAAAATAATTAATTTTGATATCATCATTATATTTAAATGGCGAACAGTATAAGCATATCAAGAACTTTCTATTACAATAAGTAGCAATGTGACTTTTACAACATGAGAGACCCGTTATATCATATCACAAGTCTTGCCCATAAATAGGAGTATTTTATTTAAGAGATGGAGCAGGTTATTCCTTAAACTTCTTCAATGGCAATGAAACTATAGAGGCATGCTAACTAAAACGACGCTTGAAATGAGTATGGGCTATAACACCTTCAATTCCCTGCAACAATACATGCATCAATAGTGATTTTTTTCCCCCACAGAATCATCAATAGTGATTGAATTGAGTATTAAGGAGCTTAGTATGCCTTAATCAATTTTTGAGCTTGAACTTTGGAAACGAAAAGGCAAAATTACTTCATTTGGTCATAAATGTAAGAGCTAGATAATTAAGAGGTGATGAACCTCTCATTTTTCCTATCCATACTCTTCCCTCATTTTCCTTTTTTGACCATAAGATCAACATGGGATGGTTCATATTTGGTTTTATGTAAAATATTTTTTTTTATTTACTTTATTCCAATATTAAACTATTGATATCAAAATTTAGCAAATCTAAACGATTCAAATATTGGTCTAATGCTTATAAAAAGGGGGGAGGAGAGAATCTCTTCCCTAACTAATTTACAAAAATTTAAAAAATTAGTTAAGTTAATTATTTGTAAAAACTATGTAATTTTTTTATATATCCTATAATCATTTGCAATTAAACCTATCACATTTAAAAATTCTTAAAATTCAGAAGATTAGTTAAGTTAGTTATTTATAAGAAATTATGTAATAATTTTTTTTCCAAATATCTCATATAGTCATTTGTAATTAAAACTATAACATATAAAAATCCTTTATTTAAAATGTGCAATTAATAGGAATAGTTTGAGTACAAAAAAAAATTATATAAAATAGAGTGAAATCTTATATTTAACACCAAAACAAATATTACAATTAGCTACTCATCCCATCTTTAATTTAAGACCAACTTCACCAAGTTTGATATAATAAGAAATTTACTAAATTATTTAATTCTAACAATTATCAATCAATCTCCCCATAATAACCTGTCCGGGGTGTTTGATTTGAGGGGGGTCCATCTTATTTGGTTTTGTTGGAGGGAAAAGGAGGAGAGAGAGATAATAATTTACCTACGTTATATAAATTAATTTACACCTTAATTGTGATTAATGTAATAATTTTTTATTTATAATTAAAATAATAATACATTTAAAAATGGAATAATATTTTTTGAATAATATACTTTTATAGTTATAATAGTATTTTATTCAAAGTAACATTTTTATTTAAAATAATATATTTTTTAATCAATTTTATAATACTATAATTTTGAATTTTTATTTTTATTTTATTTTTTATGACAATATATTTTTTAACCATAATAATATATTTTTCTTTATGATAACATTATTTTTAATTTGAAATTAATTTTGTAATAATTTTATTTTTATTTTTCCTCAAAGAAATTAAAAGAAAAAGACAAAAACCATGAGGGAAAACGTCCAAAATTTTCACTCCCTTTCAAAAACCACTAATTGGAGGAGAGCTAAAATTTCGATATCCAACAACTTAAAATATTTTCTAATTTTATCAAGCATATTTAAATTTTTTTGATATGTCCATCAGTCTAAAAATTATTAAAAAAATACTTTAAGGTGCTTGATATATATTTATTTAACAGATCTTTTGAGGAGTTAATAACAAAGTTAAAATTGTTTATGAAATACTACTTTAAAAGCATAATTAAATCTTAAGAAATTAAAAAATTTAGAAAAAAAATTACAACAAAAAATATTTTACAATGTTGTATGCATATGAAAAAATATTTTATAGTTCAGCATGCTACACCTTAATCCTATATAGATATAAGCAAATGATTATGAATATAATAATGTTTATTTTTATTTTAATAATAAAAAATTTCATTCTATCATTTTTTTTTAAAAAAAAATTATTTCGTATTTTGTTATAAATAAGGACTTTCACATATAACTAAACAAAGTAATTGAATTGAGAGTTTGACATAAAACGATGGATTACCTTTACACTGAGCCGGCACGGTGCGACCACACTTAGCAGGCAAAGCGAGGGCCTTCTTGGTGTCAATCCCCAGTGCAGGAAGCACCGACTTGTACTTGCAGAGGCAGGCCAGATCGGCATGTCGGACAACCGCGCAACACGCCTCTGTAGGCGGCGGCGGGCTCTGCCCGGTAGCCGCCGGACGGCACAAGCTCAACTTCGTTGTGTCTGTGTTGCATAACACAACCCCTTCAGCTCCTCCGCTCAATAACCCTATCACCACCACCAATAGTATTGCCGCCGCCACGACGCATTGTTCTAAGAATCTGAGTCTGACCATCATGTGGTTATGGGTATCTTCTCAACCTGAAGAACGATTATTTAAAGACATTGAGATTGAATATGGAGTTGTGGTTATATAGCGCGCACGCGTGAGAGAGAGAGAGAGAGAGAGAGAGAGAGTATGTGTGAAAGAGGAAATGTTAACGACTTTTGACCTTTCAAAATGACACTTTGCACCAATCAATCAGTCATGGTGAGTGAATGGCGGAGCTTCAACGTTGGTGAGAGGAAGTTTCAACTGACACATTTAAGAACTTATTCTACCAATATATATATATATATATATATATATGCCTACTACATTCAGCGCTTAATATAAAAATTAAATAAATAATTAAAAAATTTAAAAATTATTTAAATTAGTTATTTATCACAAATGTGTTATGATCTTCCTAAACTAACATTTTTAATTATGCATTGGATTGTTAGAATTATTTCCCAGTATAAACCCCTTGAAATTAATAGAAATATTTTGAGAAAAGATAGAAGACAAAGTAGATTGATGTGTTATATCTAGGACTAAGTTAACTCTCAACTAACTCTTATGTTAAAGATGAAAAATTATGTATATGTATACACATCTTTGCATTGCATGACATTTGCATTTATAAATTATATGCAGACTTTCAATCTCTCTTTGATTGCTGAGGTTTAAGGTTTTTACTTTAATTTTCAGCTAAATATTATTTTTTAATAAATGAATAATTAGAAGTTTTTTTACATTTTATTGCTGTAGCAATTAAAATTTTTTTGAATGAACTAAAATCTAAATTAATCAAATGTAATTTAATTAAAATATAAGTTGAGACACAAAGTAATTATTGATTAATATTTGATGAATAAAATCTAGGTAAAGCAACATCCAACATCTTGATGTTATTTCCCATTGTATTCAACATTCTGATCTTATTTATTATACATTTTACATTTGGATATTATTTTTTAATACTTCTAACAACTTAATCTCATTTGTAATGCATCTGTCATTCTAAATTACATGATGCGCGATGTAATTTTAAGAAAAATATTATGTGGTAATGTAATTGGAAAATGAAACATTGAGGATATGTTTTCTTCTCCATGATATACACCAATAGAGGTTTTTCAGGTTTTTTTTTTTTGCCAAGAGAAATGGAACTTAAGCCTGAAATATTTCCTATTGGAACAAATTTAGGTGGTTCAATTTTTTCTTCGAGCAATAGATGGTTTAATTTTACTCAAGACAGTTTAAATTTTATATTTTTTAGTTTATTTCAGGCCAATCAGTTTTCGGAAGTTATATTGACTTTGATTGTCATGAGTCTTATATCGAGGTGATTGAAAAGAAGAGCGGATTTTAGGAGATTCTTTCACTTAACAAATTGGCCCTTTTTTTTTTTTTTTTTTCCCGGATGAGCTTTCCTTTTATGCTTGTGTGTGACATTGGTCTTTTTACAAAAAAGACTGCCCATGTAACGTTTCGATTGGCATTGTCATCAGCTTCGTATTGAGAAGTCTTATACGACATGTGTAGGATCTCTGATGAACACAATCACAAACACTCAATGTACTGCAGAACTGAAAAGGTTTAGGGAAGAAAATAGAAACAGAGATAGGATGTCACATCCTGTTAATTTTAACATGTTAAATGAGAATTTAGAATTAATCGAAGGCCAGATAAAATAGTGGAGGTAGATACTAAACAAATTTTGAAGTGAAACCCAAGTGGAGATAGAACTATTATTTTGAAAAGTTTGGTCAATAAGACAATATTGAAAATTATGCTTGAAATTCTTACAAGTATTAAACAATCATGAAAAATAGAATAAAGTGTCTATAATAGTATTTAAGGCCCAAAAGATGAAACAGGGTAAAAATAATTTATTAGGAATTTTTTGTGATTACAGGTATTTTTGGCTAATTAAGAAAAAATTAAGCAAATGAATTATTTAAATGTATAGAGGCTCAATTATTCCAAAAAAAGGAGCAAAATTAGTCAAGAATTTACAATTATTGTAGAACTATTTCTGACCTTTGAAGTGGAGATGTTAGCTTTAAAAATATTTAAAGCCAATTGTGTTGGTAAAATACTGATTTTTGGAAATTTGAATAAAAGGAGTTACAGGTCAAATTTGACCTAGGAAAAATTAGTGAAATTCTCAATAAAACGGAATTGATGGCACAAAGAAATGATTTTTTGGAGCTTTTGGATTGGACAGAATTTAGGAAAAATTTATTAATATGATGAAATTATAGAGTAGAATAACCTAAAACTTTGTAGGACAACTTTTCCTCCTAATTTTCTACAATTTTTGGTGCCATTTTATGAGGTGAGGATAAGGTTGAAATTATGCAAGGAGAAAAAAAACTGGACCGGGACCGGAACGTTCACTGGAAAATTGATGAACCGGTGTGTGAGTCTGGTCTGGTTTAGCTTAAAAACTGGCTTCTAGTCAAACCGGAACAACTCGAATGAATCAGAATAAATTGATAAAAACCGACTAAACTGTTGGCTTGACTAGGTTGGCTGGTTGGTTTTTTCCCCACTTCTTTCTTGCTCTCACCATTTGCTAGGTGTCTCGCCGTTTGTGAAGACATGGCGGCTACATATTAAGTGTAGTGGTCATTAAGGGAAGGAAGAAGACTTTGTGATCGTGACATAAGGAGGAAAAGAAAAGTAGTAGGAGAGTGGAGAAGAAGAAAGAGGGAGAAAGAAAATTCTGTTGGGCGAAGTGAAGAAAAGGAAAGGAAAAAAATAAAAAAAAAGAAGTAAAAATTTCATATACTGAACATTTTGCATATTACCCATTAAAAAATTAATATTATTTTGTATAATTAGAATATGAAATTTTTACTAATTTTAACTAAATTATATTTTTAATTATTACTAGTTTGATTTGGTGTGACCCCGATCTGACCCATTAACCCTTAAACCAATGTCTGACTGGTTCATTGTTCGGTCTATTTTTTTGTTCCTTGAAATTATGCCATTGTCAATGGGCATAATTGGAAGAGGTTGATTTATATTTTATATTAGTTTTTAATCACATGTTAGAAAGGCAAGAGGACACATGGCATGATCAAGAGATGAAAGACATGATCATGAGAAGTGGTCATGGGGATTTTAATAATTTACCAAGGGCAAAATGAAAATCCTGTGGCAAAAATTTTGTCTATAAATCCCCCTATACACATAATTCAGCCAAAATTAAAAATTAGAGGAGAGAAGGTTTTGCTCTTGTGTCAGAGGGCAAAAGAAGAGAAAGAAGAACAAAAGAACCAGGTTAACTTCAAGACAACACACAAGGTAAGCTAAGGATTTTTTAAGGGTTTAATTGCCTTGATTAGTGATTGATTTGGATTTAATTTTGATAGATTTTGATGGCCAAAAACCCTAAGATAATGTGCTACCCAAGATGTTATATAACTTGATATGAATGACTAGAAGATGGCTTAGGGGTTAAAGCATAGAAAAAGGTTGAAAACTTGTGTTCTAACTTGATTTATGGAAGAATTCCAACTTGTTACATGTACATATGTATTTCGGCCAAGATGAGAACATGATGTTAGGGTTTGATTCATATTAGTTGGATACTTTCAGTGAGTTTAGAAGATGAAATTGTATAATACTATGTTGAGAAAATGTGTTTGGAGATGTTAAAATTGAAAATGAAATTTTAAACTTAAGAACGCTACCGTTTGGTAAAATGTGAAACTAGGGAAATGATTTGGAATTTGACGAATATAAGTTTCAATATGAATTTACATAAAAATTATGTAGAAAAAGATATTAGAGTTATGTTAAGAAAGATGATACAAAAATCCTATAATAAAAAATAGGGTTAAGTTGCATTTTAACAAGAAGTTTACCCTAAGGAGCACTGGGCACTATAAAGTTTATTTGGGTGCAAAAATATACATGAAGTTGTCAAAAGGGAGCATCTGGCACCATGCCGTTAACGTCCGTCAGATCACACAGCTAGATTCTAACACTTGACTAGAAAAATCACAGGCATAAGTTCATGATTTTTTAAACATTTCCAACATTATCTTAAGGTATTTAGGCTATGATCATGCAACACTGCCTCATTCCATCCACTTAATCACATATTCATGCCTAATTGAACTTTTTAGAAATAGGATGATCATTTCTTACTACCATTCATCAAAGTTACATAAATTATATGGCCAAACTCAAAAGTTTATAATTACATAACATATTCATAAACACATAGTTGCATGACATCTTATGCAAATTGATCTCAAGCTTCCAAATTCTTTCTTTTGTCCCTTGAAAAGCTAGCCCCTAGTGGTGTCATTTGGATATAAAGAGGACTAAGATTTCAAAAAAAAAAATCTCAATAGCAAAGAACAACCATTATAGTACTAATAATGCAATGTCAGATCATGCTACATGTCATATCATGCCATGGAAAGGAAGCGTATTACCAAAAAATCAAACAACTCAATCATGCTAATTGTTAAGACATAAATACAAGGCGTTAAACACATTACATAATAGCTAGCTTAACCACATCATGACATAGAAACACATAGCAAACAACTAATGCAAAGTAACATTAAAATTGTAAGTTCTTGCTAGATTGTATCAAGAGTTGATTCTTACTTCTTTTCCTTTATTCTTGAGGTTCTTCTTGCCAATGAACAATGCCTATCAATTACACAACAAGACATTCTAAATTTCAACCTAAACAACATCAATGAATTGCCTTGACATAAATCCTAAACCCTATTTTTTAGGGTTAAGGTGTAATTTTAACAACAAAGTTTACCCTAAGGGCACTGGGCACCATAAAGTTTATTGAGGTGCAAAAATATACATGAAGTTGTCAAAAGGGAGCATCTAGCACCATGCCGTTAACGTCCGTCAGTTTACCGTTAGAGGGGCCCAGAAAGTCAGTTTTAAGGTGCATTTTTAACAACAAAGTTTGTATCAAGGGGCATTAGGCACCATGAAATTTACTTGGGTGTAAAAATATACATGAACTTTGTAAAAGGAAAAAAATGACAAAATTCTTCAACTTCCATAAACATCTATTAATTTTATTCTTTTCGGTCTCACCAAATGTTATATTTTCTCTCTATAAATTTCCACTTCCAAGCCGATCCATC